TGAGTCAACGTGTTTCTCTAAGCAGCAGGAGGACACTGTAAAATAAGGATCAAAAGGACAGTATAGTAAATACATAGACCATAACGCAGTCATTTACTACCGTGACCAAGTACGGGGTCCTGGGCAGAGCTGGAGGTGCCATACTCCTACAACTGCAGCTCGCTCGGTTTACACCAGCGTCACCACAGTGAGGAAAGTGTGGTCTATGGGGAAGGAGGTCACCAGGCAAGGGCGATCCTCTGGCTCCCCGAAAATCTGAAAATCTTTTTGAACAGTTTCATAGGCAGTCTGCTGTGGACCAAAACACTGATAGGGGCCGTGACTGGAGATATGTGTAACCACGTTTTCAAAATTCTCTACATAATGGCATTTTATATATATGTGTGTGTGTGTGTTTGTGTGTATGTATATATAAATATATATATATATATGTTTTTTTATTATCTAAATTTTTTAAAAATACAAGATTTCCCCCCCAGAATACTATGAAAACCATATTTCTCATTTTAAGGGGAAAAATTATTTTAAATTACACATTCAACCCCCAAAATGCTATGAAAACCATATTTCTCATTTTAAGGGGAAAAATTATTTTAAATTACACATTCAAGAAGTGATAAGCTCTACTCTATATATAGAATATTACTCTAAGTGTTTAAAATTGTATTTAGGGGGAAGGGCTGAAAGGATGTCCACCAAAGTGTTAACAAAGGTTCTCTTGAGTCAGTGGCATTAAGAATGACTTTAATGTTCCTATCAACAACATTATTGCTCACAATTATCACTCACTGAGCCCTGAGGACATGCAATCGTTTTGCTGGGTTCTTCACGTCTCGGTGACGTGGACTATCGCATTGGTCCTCTGAGGTGGGTGTGATCACTGCGAACTCATTTTATAGTTAAGGAACTGGAGACTGAGAGAGGAAACGCTACTTGCCCAAAGCCCAGGTGTGGCTTCCCAAGTGACAGCCTCCTCAAACAGACGTGGCCCTCGCTTTCTTGTAGAGCAAGGAGTGTATTGCTCATCAGAAAGTCAAGGACCCACTATGATACCTCCGAGAAGGATGGCCAGTGGGTGAGGGCTTCAGTGGGTGAGGGCTTCAGTAGGTGAGGGCAGCTGCACTGCTTCTGTCAGGACCTGGGGTGCGTGAGTGCCTCAGAGCATTAACCCACCACCTGCCATTCCCAGAGTAACCCGGCTTGGCCAGTGCACAGTGAGGCGAGCAAGAAATCCCAGCTGGTCACTTCCAGAAGCCTGCGCCAGCTAGAGAAAGGGGAAGACGGGAACCCTTCACGGCAGCAGTCTGGGTGAGCCTGGTAAGCGGGTGAGGAACGAGGAATCTGGACAGCGCGTTCGGAGCAGGATGGGGAGAAACGCAGAGAGGAAAGAGAATGTTTCGAAGTGTCAGGCTGCCCTATGAATTGGGCCTCCCTGAAATGCAATCACCTGTTAACGACCTCAGGCTTGGGCTGTGTTTCTCTTAAAAAAAAAAAAAAAAAAAAAAAAAAAAAAAAAAAAAAAAGGCATCACATCGAGAATAAATCATACGGGGCCTTGAAATTTATCTGTGTTATATTTATACATTTTTCTTTACTTAAAAACATTTACGGTGAGTGTGTGTTTAACGTTATAATGAGGGAGAAAGTACATCTAAACCTTCTAGGTGTTTTAGGGCGCCTGTTGCTCGAGATGAAGGATAGTTTGGGGAGCAGCCAATAATTTCATTATCCCAGAACCCATGGGGATTGCCCATGCTTTCTTTCTGGGGCAGGATATGCCACAGAAGAGAGTCCCCCAAACTACAGGGACTCTGTGACCTGCAGGAGGCCCTTGGGCCAACGCCCTGTCCAGTATCTTCTCTCAGAGAGAGGGCAGGCACCTGACCATTCCCACTCAGTTTGGTTCATTTCTCTCACTTAACCGGGAGCCGTGCCCAGACCAAAGGGCTCCAAAGTGAGAGGACACTGCCATCTTGCCCCATCTGCTCACTGTCTCCACAGTGGACTGTGGCTTTCCTGAGGACAGAAATAGCACCAACAATGGCTCAAGAGATCCCTTCGCTCAGTACGGTACCCCGCACTCCATCAGTGTGTGCTGAGGAACTAAACAAAGCTTGACAACTGGAAAGGCACCAGCTTCTTCCTGGGGCATGCACCTGCAATCTCCCCTCGTAATTCTCCCATTTAACTCCCAGGAAACACCAGCTCACACACTTAGAGTGGAATACCGAGTAAGCCAGGAAGAGCAGCACTATCACAGAGCTGTAAGAGTGTATGATAAGCAATGACATACCGGCCCCTCTCATTCTTCACTACTGATTCATTCACACTGACCACGCACACACAACGTGCCAGGCACTGCGCTGGGGTACTGGAGATACAGACGCTTAATCTGACCATGATAAGAGACACACAGAGCATCCTGGGAATTAACCATATCTATTAATAGCTAGTTACGCAGCGCTACGTTCTGTTCTGGTCTAAGCTGTCCTAGTTTACAGGTAGCATTATTTTATCCCTATTTGACGGGTGAGGAGACTGTCAAATGTGACAGGTGAGCAGACTGATATTTCAAATGTTAATGTGTTCATGTCTCACAAATGGCTAGTGGTGAAGACCAGGCTTAGATTCCTAAAGTCTGATTCCTACCTTTGTTCTCTTAACGGTTCCCAGGGAGCTTCCCCATGAGTGACTCTGGTATCAGTGGCCTCCAAGTCCTCAGATATGTTGGACAAAAAAAAAAAAAAAAAAAAAAAAAAAAAAAAAAAAAAAAAAAAAAAAAAAAAAAAAAAAAAAAAAAAAAAAAAAAAAAAAAAAAAAAAAAAAAAAAAAAAAAAAAAAAAAAAAAAAAAAGATTTCCTGGCCTTGGGATGGAAGGGTCAGAATCTCCGGGAGGGGAGCCCCATTTTGAAACATAGGGCTGATATTTCAGATGGGCTTAAAGTTTGTGAAACACAGCATTCAAAAGCACTGCACCCCCTCCCTGAGTTTACAGAATCACTAGCACCCACCTTCCACCCCTACTTCCTACAACCAGTGGGCAGAAAAGAACAAAGGTCGCAGGAAGAAAGGCCAGGAAGGAGGGAGGGAGGGAGGAAGGAAGAGGCAGAAAGGAACTTGCTCCAAAGGGGCTCCATCTCAGTTCAAGGCAGGTCAACATTCAGGCCTCTGCTCTCCTGGCTCTTGGACCTCCAGCAGCACCCAGTGTGGTACCTGCCGCTAAAACAGCTGCTGATGGGCCTGGGGAGCTCCGCAGGGGGTGTCCTCTACAACTTCTGGCCCGCTGAAGCAGTTTAAGAGGCCAGTGAAATCGGGGCAGTGTTTGGCTGAGAGATTTAGCTGTACTCAGGGCTCAGGCCGGAATGCTTATCCCTACCCAAATCAAGACATTGCTGGGCTGGGTCAGCTCCCAGTGAGAGTCCACAGTCTGCGGACAAGCTGGTAGGTGGCAGGAAACAGGAACAGAGACAGGAGCCCTGGCTCTGAAGGAGCTACGTCCGAGTAGAACGATGAAGTAGAAGGAAGTAGTGTTTTGTTGGGGTTTACAGGGTCCTTGAGGGGATCCCTCTACTGGTTCTGACCAGGAAACCACATGACCACTCTGAGTCTCACTTTCCTCATTTGTAGAAGGAAAATAACCATTATTATTAGAAGACTATTAACGTTGCCATCTGTGATTACTGGACACTTTCTGAAGGTCGGAAACTGTCTGGAGTTCATGACAGATACCTATGAAGTCACTGTAATCCCCATGTAGCAGATGAAGACAATGAGGCTTAGCGAGGTTAAGGAGTTGCCCAGTACTTCTCAACAGGTAACCAGGAAAGCCAGGATGTGGTCCAAGTCTGTCTGATGTCAACCCTGTGCCTGGTAAGGACTCGGCGAAGACCGAGCATGCAGCTCTCCAACTGGGGGACCTGCTGGTTTATAAGGTCAGCTCCAAGTCTCAGCTCGGCCAAGCAGCACAGCAGAAACACAGGTCCCCATGCTGTCACCTGCTGTCCCAAGTGTCTGAGCTGAGGAGACCATCTGTGCAGCAGTGTTGAGGGGCTTTCAAGCCCAGACCCTGAGCTGGTCCGCCTCGAGCCTCGCCTCCCACCATCTGCCCCTCATCCACTCCCACTTCACTCTGTCCTGCAGGCAAGCTCGTTCCCACCTCAGGGCCTCTGCATGCTCTGACCTCTGCTGAACACACTATTTATTCCTTCTGCCCTGAAGCAGCTTTCCCGGATATTCACGAAGCTTCCTTCTCCATGTCATTAAGGTCTCAGATCCTGCTCCCCTCCTGGGAGAGGCCTTTCCTGAACATCCCATCTAAATCAGCAATCCCCAGTTGATGTCTACATCTCCCTGTTTAACTTCCTTCGTAGTGCCTGACAGCATCCGAAATGCTCTTACTCGTTATTTGCTGCTGTGTTAGAAAAGTGCTTAGCAAACGGTTAACTTTCAATGAATAAGTGCTGAATGAGTGGATGAATGGATAAACTAATGAATGAGAAGTCTTACTAATTTTCTTGGTGTGTAATAAGGATTCAAGAACCTATACTCAAAAGCGTCCTTCTCCTTCTGGTTAACAAGGGCAGAAACCACAGAAATAACACCATGGTTGATAACAGCTTAACCACCACCCAGTAGCTGGATCCACACACACTGCTGGGCACGGCTCCAAAGCTAAAAAGGCACTAATTGCTTTTATATAAGAAGGTAGAAACACAGTCCCTCCAAGTCCCTTAGTCCTGATGGTCTGCATTATCGTATCTGTTACCATGTTAATTGTTCCTGTCTCACACGGTCACTTTGGGTTTCACTCTGCCTGTGTCTGGGAGGTGACAGGTTCCTATAGAGAAGAGAGGCTGAGGGGAAGCATGTCTGTGCATTTGTGTGTCCGTGCACATGTACGTGAGTGTGTAGGAAAGAAGCCACGCTCTAGGAAGGGTTAACTTGCAGGCAGACTGCCTGTGCTCAGGGCCCTAAGACTGGCCCAGGAATGGGAGGGGTGGGCCTGGAAGGTGGAGCAGGCTCAGTTTGCACGAGCTGCCTTCTCCACAACAGGAGCGCAAACGCTTGCCCAGCTGGACTGAGTGAGCTGAACACAAGTTGCCTTTAGGAATGGCTAGAAAAGCCCTCACCTGGAAATCACTCTCTCCCTGCTCCTCCACAGCAGGTTGCATTTGGGAGGCTCTCATCATCAGAGGAATGAGCCGGGAGTAAGCAACTAACCAGCTCCCAGCACTTGGTGGAAGGCAGCAGGCGAGGATGGACGTGGTTGACAGCCTTCTTGTGAATGGAAGCAACATCACTCTTCCCTGTGAACTCAGGCTCGAGAATGAGACGTTTTTCTGCTTGGATCAGCCCAATCCTTCCAAAGGTAGGTGTCAGAGGCTGTTATTTTAATGAAGGAAACTACGAGTTGAGGGAGAAATCAGCAAAGGCAGGGCGGATAAAGGGAATACAACAGTGCCGTTGCGAGACTAGGTAAAGTCACAGGTTCAGAAGTTTGGACAAGAGATCAAAATGCAGAATAGAGTCATATATTCGTATTGTTCCCCACGGGTGTGTTGCGGACTCATGAATAGGACTTGGGGGAACAAAAAAGCAGGAGGAAGGGCTGAGAATCAGCAAGAAGGCAGTGCCAGTGTCAAAGCTCGAACTTACTAGCTTTTCAGAGAAGGTGCTGTCAACAGTGGCTGCTGCTTTTTCTGGGGGAGCCCCAGGGTGAAGAAGTGATTAAAGCAAAATAATGCTTAGCAGCTAGGAAAGAAAACGATCACTATTCTCTTGGGAAGCTTTGTTCTTAAAGTAGTTCCCTCTGTGATCTTTTAACCAACCAACCTTTGAAATACAAAGGATTCATTCTGTGCTTTCCTCAGTTTGTTTCTGGAAGACATTGTTGAGGTCCAGGAATAGTTGGGTGCTGTGATGGACCCCCGCAGGGGTGGGGACATAGGCAGGAAAGAGCTGTCCACTTGTGCTTAGGTTTTAGCCGTGTGCACGCGTCACCTCCACCCTCGCTCTGATCCTGCACTCTGCAGAGTGGCAGCCGGCCGTGCAGATCTCCCTGTACTCCTTGATATTTCTGCTCAGCGTGCTGGGCAACACGCTGGTCATCACGGTGCTGATTCGGAACAAGAGGATGAGGACCGTCACCAACATCTTCCTGCTCTCGCTGGCCGTCAGCGACCTCATGCTCTGCCTCTTCTGCATGCCGTTCAACCTTATCCCCAACCTGCTCAAGGATTTCATCTTCGGGAGTGCCGTCTGCAAGACCACCACCTACTTCATGGGTAAGTGGCTGCAGGTCAGGACTTCAGAGTTCGCCCCAGACTTCCCCTAGCCCCAAGAGCCTCTGCTAAGCAGCCCTGCTGAGTTCTAAGACATGGACCATCTGGTTGTGCAAGGGCAGAAACGCTGGCTTCACGGCAGGTCAGGCCTCGGATGTCACCAGAAGTGATTCCTAGGTGTCAGAAGTCAGCTTCTAAGAGTGAAAAGATGATCTGAAAACACAGACGAGGTTGGTTTCACTTGCATATGCGTGAAGAGGAGAGGGGTGCAAAAGGGACTTCCACCTGCTCTCACTCGTTCTGGAAGCAGTAAACTATATGCCAATCTCTACTCGCCTTGAGGCATGGCTTCTAGGGTGGTGAGGCTGGTAGAGGAGGGTTTTTGCTGTGCTCCTCTCATTTTCTAGAGAACAGGAGCTATTTGAAAACCAGTTTTATCATAGAGGTAGAGTCCCTTCTCAGATTCCCTTCCCAGCCTGTCGCACCAGGGCTGGGACCATCCCAGGCAGAGGGAAAATCTTCTCTGTGCCTTGATGAAGCGCTGTTTGCTCCTAGGGCCGTGGGGTCACTAAGCTGATCCCGAGTGGCTGAGGCATGTGGCTCTCTACCTATGCCGATCACAATGATGACAATAAAAATGACGAGAGCTAACATTTCCTGATTGCTCCCATGTACCAGATGTTACCTCCCCACCCTGCTATGAAGTACAGATATTCCTCCTGGTCTCATCAAGTAGTGAACAGAGACTCAGAGAGATTCATATTGTGCCTAAGGACACACAGCTGTAAGTGCCAGGGCTGGGACTTGAACCCATCTGAGTAGCCACCACAATGGTGAGCACACCGCCTCAATTTTCCAACTGTTGTGGTTCTCCAGAAACTGATCAGAAACACGTTTCTGTTTGCCAAACTGCCTTGCCCCTTTCCTGTTTTGAGAACTATTGGGGAGAAACGGAGAGGTAGCAAATGTGGGGGGTGTTGTCGTTTGTTCTGACCCAAGCCTTGAAAAGCACGCAGAGCGAAGTTGGGCTGGGGTAGTCTTCAATGTGCAGAAGCATTGAAGCCTTTATTTTTCTCAGTCGAGGAAGCACGATTCGGCCCTGACAGATGATGATGAATTACTGACCCGCATGCAACAGACCAATAACCAAGAACACATCAATCCACGTCCAAGTCCTCTAAATTAAAATAAATAAATAAACAAGTGAAAAGGAACATTGTTAAATAATGAAGCAATCATGATAAGCAGCATTCGTACTGCCTTAGACGTCCAAGATCCATCCGTACATAGTTTCTTCTTACTGAAGAACCTTAACCAAAGTATGTGAAAGGAGAGTGAGAGTGAGTGCCTGCTCCATCCCACGACATGTGAATGCCATGATACTATTCACTGGAAAATGGTTCGTGTTGTATTATGTGGATTTTGCCTCAGTAAGAAAAAACTGAATAGCCAAAAAGAAAATGTTGAAAGTATCTGTAATACCATAATTATTTTGTTGAATTTCTAATTCTAGAAACAGATTCTTTTCTCAATTTTGTGGGCTCCTCAATACTATGACTAATAATTAATATTCATTAAACTCCTCATTTGTAGCCAAAAAAAGAGAATGCTTGTCTGACAGTGTGTTTATTGTTACAAAGGACCCTGTACATAGAATTGATTATCGAATCTTCATCTAGTCTCTCAACTAAAAGTCTTCAACTCTTCAGGGTAAATTAAATCCTACCCCAGAACATAAGTCTGTAGTTAATAGTTTGGAGGTCAGAGACACTTACAGAACCCTAAGAAAAACTAGGGCTAACTTTCTAGAAAGAGGACATTTTGGTACATAGTTTCAGAGCATTCATTTATATCCATAAGCACAGTAAAAATTCTAAGGACTCTAGGTTAAGAACTTCTGCTCCCAAACTTACATTAATTCTGGAGTTTAAGAAATCATAGTAAGAGTTAATTAGAAGAATTGGTACAACTCAAAGCTAAAGGATTCTAGAGGAATTTTTAAGGGGTAAGACATTATAAGCATACTAAACAATATAAAAATTAGAGGAAATTAAACTTTGACTATACCTAAGTACTTTTTAAGAAAAAAATATTGCTAGAGGGTGTGTGCTTGCCAGAGAAAGATAGCACCTGACACACACATGGGGCAGGGTCCCGCCACAATCCACTTTCTTCCACTTCTCATCAGGATTTGGGGGCATGCACTCAAATATGTCCAGTGTGTTTTTCAAGCTGTCAGGGCCAGGATTTGAACCACAGTTAGTCATGTAGGATCCGACTCCCGTTACTACTGTGCTATGGGGCTGGCCCAGTACATGTTTTTAAGAGATACAACAGATTCCATATCTTTCCCATTATAATGGTGATGCATGTTGACTCTACAAAATACAGACAAGCAAAAAGAAAAGGAAGACCTTGTCCTCCTACTCAGAGAAACCGTTAGTTTTAGCACAAAGCTTTTCCCCTTTATCTTTTTTCTTTCTCTGTTTTTTTCAACAAATTACATTTTTAAAGTCTAGAATAACTGCACTCTTAAAGACAGTGTGTACTAGAAATTTTCAGGAAGAGTTTGAATGCCTCCAGCTCAAATCTCAGTGACCTTTCAGGGTCACAGAGTCCCTGAGAATCTTGGATTTTAAAAGTCAATGCAACTATGCAGATCATGCTTGAAATGGGCGCTTTGCTTCAGGTTTCTCCAAAATTTCTACTGCCGGGTGGGTAGAGAAGTATTTCATCCCTGTGGTTATTAATTAATGAGCACCTTCAACCCAAGCAGGTTGTAATCGAAGCTGCATAAACTTATCTAAAAATTGGCAAAGAGACGTATTTACAAATACATTTCTTTAACTGCCTTAAATCCTTTTTGGAACCAAGCTGAGAATAAATCATCTTTTTAAAATATACATACACAGTATTCCTTTACCCTCTGAGAGTTTTCCTTTGATAGCGAACCTGGCCGATCAGATATGCTCAAACTAATGTGCAAATAAACTATGGATCTCAGAGCTAACTGACTCCTTTGTTCTTTTCCCAGGCACCTCTGTGAGTGTATCCACCTTTAATCTGGTGGCCATATCTCTGGAGAGATACGGCGCGATTTGCAAACCTTTACAGTCCCGGGTCTGGCAAACAAAATCCCACGCTCTGAAGGTGATCGCTGCTACCTGGTGCCTCTCCTTCACCATCATGACGCCTTACCCCATTTATAGCAACCTGGTGCCTTACACCAAAAACAACAACCAGACCGCAAATATGTGCCGCTTTCTACTGCCGAATGATGTTATGCAGCAGTCTTGGTAAGGTTGCATTGTGTTTATTTTTTTAAATAAAACTTGATATAATTTGGCAATAGCTTGAAATACTGGAATGCCTTGCCTAGAGAAGTTGGTGGATCTCTTTCCTGGAGACTTTTTCAACAGGGTCATTCTAACCTCGTTCTAGGATAAAAGTAAACACCTATCACATGGTTTAAATTCAAATATAAACACTTAAATGGCATACATATATAAATCCAATTAATCCTTTCAAAACATAGGGTGGGGGGGAACCAGCAGTTAGCGTAATGGCTATGTCGCTGGACTCCCACGTAGTCGACTGCGGTTCGTGTCCCAGACCCGGTGGCTTAAAACTCACGCCGGGCGTGTGTGCGTGCGTGCCCAAGATCCCGAGAGGAGAATGGAGGAGAAGGGATTGCGGCGTGACCATCCCCCCTGGGGGGTGATTTCTCGCTTTCTGTCTCTATGTCTCTCTCTGTCTGGCGAGCGCACGCGCCCTACAATGAAAATCTCTCAAAACAAACAAACAAACAAACAAACAAAAAACATAGGGTGGGTATTATTTTTTTTATTTTAATTTGACCAGAGAGGGATGGGGTGGAGGAGGGAGGTGGGGAGAGTGAGAAAGCAAACCAGGTCCAGGAGTTGAACCACAGTCGGCTATGTGGGAGTGCAGCACCCTTAACTACCATGCCACCTGTCGGTCATGTGTTGTTATTATTTTAAATAAGTATTTATTTATTACTATAATTCAATTTGCCCAGAGAGAGGGAGAGTGAGAAAGCAAGCCTCTATGTCCAGGACTTGAACCGCAGTTGGCCATGTGGGAATCCAGTGCCTTTAACTACCATGGCACCTGCCACCCATGTGTTATTATTATTTTAAATAGTTATTTATTTTTTATTATTATAATTGAATTTGTCTGGAGAAAGGGAGAGTGAGAAAGCAAGCCACCAGGTCTGGGACTCAAACTGTGGTCAGCCATGTGGGGAGTCCAACACCTCAACCACCATGCCACCTGCTGGCCCCGGGTAGGTCTTATTATCATGGCCAGTTTGCAGATGGGAAAACTGAGACTTGGAAAGGGTAAGCTGCCCAGACTTGCACTAGAAAGTGCCAAAGCCCCTGAGCTCCACCACTCCACATAAGCTTCTGGAGGAGCTAATGTGGATTTAGCTAGACGGTGGTGGGGTTATAGCCCTAAAGAACTGGAGATAGAGCAGAGGGTAAGTTCCAAATCCCAGGAGGTTTTTTAGAGCTGCAGCTATCGTGCTTATCCAGTGCACCTCACCGGAGTAAAAAGGTGCGATTCTAATACCAGTTCCTTTGCTTCCTAGTTGGGTGACTATGGGTGAGTTCATATAACTTCTGTGAGCTTTAGGGACCTTACCTCTCCAAGGAGTTAATTATAAAGATATTTTAAGAATCTAACTCATTGGGTGGCCCTGAGATTCAAGTACGAGTATGTGTATAGAGACATCGTTATAAAACGTCTACAGAAATGTAGCAGACTGTATTTACTAATTCCAAGGATGTTCTAGAAGCAAGGAACTAGGTATTCAGAGACCGCTCGAAACGGAGGTCTCTGCTTTCTTGTCTTCCTCATGTATTTCAATCCAGTCGCACATGAAAAAGAATTATGTTGCAAACAAGAGGGGGTATTTCTAAGACTTGAATAGGAATCTTATCAAAACATGTCCACTTGAAATGAGAAATGGCCCAGCCACCGTGAGCCTCTGACAATTTTATGGCCCAATCATGTAACCTTACACATGCCAGACTACAGAAGTGATTTAGGAGCCAGACTCATAGAGGAGGAGGCTGTGATTCCTCAGGAATCAAATGTGTTTAGAGAAGGCAGAGCTCTAACCCAGCAGGCCCGAGAGCAAGGACGCCACTGTGCCAGCTTCTCAGGGTCACGGAGGATGGATGCCTGGGGAAATGTCTGAGCGCCTCGTGAGTCAGAAACAGCCAGCGTACCGTGTTTTGTAAAAACCCAGAAGGCTCTTCATCATCCCGTCCTAAGTATTGGATTATTCTGTTGTTATAGGGTTGCTAATGATGCGGTGCGGTGCCTAAGAACATAGGTTCTAGAATCATATTGCTGGGGTTCAAGTAGAGCGGCACTGTGGACAAGTTATTCCATCTCTTTAAGTCTTACATTCCTTGTCTCTAAAATAAATACTAGGGGCCAGCCAGGTGGCATGGTGGTTAAAGCAGCTGGATCCCACACAGCCAACTGTAGCCTTCGAATCCCAGGCCCAGCAGCTTGGGAAACACACCAGGAGCATGTGCATGTGCGCCCCAAATCCCTAGAGGACAATAGAGAAAAAGAGAGTGTTACGTGGCTATCTCCTGAAGGGTGATTTCTCACTTTCCCTCTTTCTCTCTCTCTGGCAAGCAAACGTGCCCAATAGAAAAAAACTAAAAGAAAAAAAAAATTAAATACCTATTAGGATACTAGTACCACCCTCAAAGGTTATGATGGGAGTAAACTGCATTAATGTGAGGGAGAAGTCTTCAAAAATTCATGGAAAACACATAAAATGAAAAACCTATGTGTGAATTTCAATTTTTTGCACTAAAATAAGCTAATACTTTAATTTGTCCATGAACTTTTGTAAGTCCCCTCATATACAGAAAATGCTTAACCTACCAGTAGATGTAGCACATATAACAAGCCCTTGTGGTTACTTCTTTTGGTACCAGTGTTACTGAAACATAATTCACATCCTCTTATCATCTTTTAAGTTTTCATTGTTTTTAACATGTAGAATTATTTCAGGCACAAAATTACATCAAACTAGCCCTTCATCAGACTCTATCTTTAAAAAAAAGAAGAAGTAAACAACTTTTAATGGCTCAACCTCCAGACATGGAATTTCCAACTCTGTTAAGTACTAGCAGTTAATGTGTATGCTTAGACCAGTTAATAAAGATGGACCTTATTTACTTCTTCCTGTTTGAGTCTGGAGGCCTGAACTTGCTGGCTATTGGATCTCTTTTGATTTCATTAGGCACACGTTCCTGTTACTCATTCTCTTTCTCATTCCTGGAATTGTGATGATGGTGGCATATGGACTAATCTCTTTGGAACTCTACCAAGGAATAAAGTTTGATGCTAGCCAGAAGAAATCTGTTAAAGGTAACTATCTGTTAGCTGTGTGTTTATGCCAAAAGAGTGCAAGAACTTGTTTTCTATAACTTAAATGGTTACACTCAGAGCGTGTAGGGTATACTGGAGATTTCTGAAAGTATTCTTATGAGACTCCGTGTCTTAAGGCAGTCATTCGGCCCAGTCTCTCCGACTTTCCTCATCTGTGACATAGGGGAAATAATTCCTCTCAAAAGTATGCAGATGGAGTAAGATGAGATACTACAGACATAACAAGCTGAGGGCCCATGTGTCCTAGACTTCCTGTAATGTCATGTTCAAATGAACGCCCTTCAGCAACCAGAGTTAACTATGATTCCAGTCCATATTCGTGTCTCTCTGGGGGCATTAGAAGAGCCATGACTTAGACCACATTAGAAGAAACGTGATTCTTAGTGCCTTTTCTCCTTCCCGCTCCTTTGACTCACACTGCGGTTGCCACACAGCCTCACTCCTTGCCCATTCCTCACCATCCACTGTCCAACCAAATTTTACCAACACTTTTGTTCATGTAACGTTTCTTCCTTTTCACTCCATCCCCTCAGTCAGCACTTTAGTATGTATGAGGTTGTCGGGAAAGTCAGGATATATTTTTCTGTTTTTCTATGCAGAAATGCCTTGTGACTTTCTCAAAAACCCAATAGATAGCTTAGACTCTCTAGCTTCTTTGGTTTTTGTTTACTTTTTTTTTTTTTTACTACCTAGATTCCTCACAATAAAAGCAATCCGGAAGCTTACCAAAAAAGCAGAAAGCTTCTGGCTGGGGAGCTGAGGAAAGGGCGAAGAATGTGACCATTCATTCCTGAATAACTTTTTTAATCCAGTACTCTGTGTATTATTTTTACTAAACAGTATACTGTGTGTCTATTATTTTGTTAGCTTTGCACTCGCTCACCCAAGCAGATACAGAGAGAAAGGAAAAGTGAGCCAGAACTCCCAGGGTCACTGCCATGTTGTAATCTCTTCTCCTCCATTTTCCACTTGGGATTTGGGGCACACACCCACACATGCCCACTAGTTTTTCAAGGTGCTGGATCCAGGACTCAAACTGCACAACTATGTGAGATCAAGCTGCCTTAACATCCATGCCACCAGCTGCCCCTTACCAATATGTGTTGGTTGAGGCACTGGACTCCCACATGGTCAACCTCAGTTCAAGTTCCAGGCTTAGCAGCTTGCTTTCTTAATTTCCCTCTCTCTCTCCCTGTGTCTTTCTTTGGTGAGTGCATGTGCCCTGGAGCAAATTAAAAAGTAATAATAATGATAAATAAAATTAAATAAATAATTTTTGAGAGGTTTTTTGGATAGGGTGCATGCGCTCTCCAGAAAGAGGGACAAAGAGAGAAATAACTCCTGGGGGTGAGGAGGAGTAGGGGGAGTGGGGGGACTGGAAGGGTGGTGGGATGGTGGCCACGCTGCAATCCCTTCTCCTCCATTCTCCTCTTGGGATCTTGGGCACACACACACAGGCGCCTGGTGTGAGTTTAAGCCACTGGGTCTGGAGCTCGAACTGCAGTGGACTACAGGGGAGTCCAGCGACATAGCCATTATGCCAACTGCTGGTCCCAAATAAATAATTTTTTTAAAACTTAGTTTTCGAGACCAGCAGGTGGCTGGTGGTTGAAGTGCTGGGCTTCCCACATGGCCGACCACGGTTCAAGTCCCAGACCTTGCAGTATGCTTTCTCACTTTCCCTCTCTCTATGAAAATAATAATAAATAAAATAAATAACTTAAAAAAAAAAAAACCTTAAAAACAAACTTCGTTTTAAGAGGCTTTTCATTTGATAAGGCGAAGCAGCGTAGCTCCATACTTACCCAGGTCAGTGCGGGCGACACAACCCGGTTCTCAGTGCAAGTGTGGCCCGGCCTCCGGGATGGCGGGGCCGGGCTCCACGCCTGGGTCGTGCGTGACCGTCCCGGGCACTAACCGTGTCCCTTGCCGCCGCAGAGAGGAAAGCGAGCACGGGCAGCAGCGGCAGGCCGGAGGACAGCGACGGCTGCTACCTGCAGAGGCCGCGCGGGCGGCTGGAGCTGCAGCAGCTGTCGGGCAGGCCGGGCCGCATCCGCAGCAGCAGCTCGGCGGCCAACCTGGCGGCCAAGAAGCGCGTGGTGCGCATGCTCATCGTCATCGTGGTGCTCTTCTTCCTGTGCTGGATGCCCATCTTCAGCGCCAACGCCTGGCGGGCCTACGACCCCGGCTCGGCCGAGCGCCGCCTGTCGGGGACGCCCATCTCCTTCATCCTGCTGCTGTCCTACAGCTCGGCCTGCGTCAACCCCATCATCTACTCGACGACGGCCGGACCACGGGCGCGTCCCTGTCGCGCTACTCCTACAGCCACGTGGGCTGCGCGCCTGCGCCCTGAGCGCGCTGCAGACCAGCGGGGCCGAGGCGGGAAAGAGGTAAGGCAGACACCGGAAGCGGAAGTGAAGGACCGGGAGGCGCCACTTCCGGGGGAGCTCTGCAGGGCCTGCTTTCCAGCCTTCGCCCGGCGCCTGCAGGGGCGTGCGAGGGTGGCCCCGTGGCCGGGCTTCGAGGTGGTTCAGGTCATGTCGGGAGTCCTAGGCAGGCCCGGGACAGCGTTTGCAGGAGTCACTCTGCACACGGCACTGCTGAGCAGTGCTCGAAACGGGGCCGTGGACCTTATTGAGCTAGAAGGTTCTAGAACATCCCGGATGGGCTGTCACTCCTGTGATGACAGAGTGCCCTGCTGCTTTTGCACGAGCAGCTGCGTGGAGGCTGCCTCTCCTTGGGGAGCCGTCACTCATGCATGCACACAGGGCAGCCACCTGATCGGAGCCCAGGAGCGAGCCCCCAGCCAACCCTCTCTGGGCATCTTGTGTGTGAGAAGAAAGCCCAATTTTTTGGTCAAGCACATTCACAGACATGAGCATATGTCGTCTTCAGAATCTCATAAGGACAGAAAAGACCGAGAGAGAGAATTTGGAACTTGACCCTTCTAAAAAGAAAACAGTATGAGGCAAAGGGCGAGGTGGACGCTGGCCTACCATGAGGAGTGATAACGGCTGCATAGAGGTGTTTTTTTCAGTTGATTGATAAGTATTGTTCAACCTCTCATTGTTATGGTGACTTTTTTTTCTTCTACTTTGCTAGCAGAGAGAGGGAGAAAAGCAAAAAAATACTCCCCATGGGCGACGGCCTTGCCACCATCCGGGCTCCATTCTCTCTTTGGAATTTCAAGCATGCAGGCATATGCACCTAGTATGTTTTTCTTTCTTTTTTTCTTTTTTTTTAAGAGGTTTCTTGCCATATGGCACATCTGCCCATCCAGAGAGAGAGAGAGAAAGTGAGAAGTCATCCACCCTGGGATCTTGGGCACATATACCCAGCATAATTTTCAAGCCCCCGAGGGGTCCAGGACTCAAACCATGGTTGGCTATGTAGAAGTCCAGCAACTAACCACTAAGCCATCTGCTGCCCCCCACCACCGTTACCAATGTGTTTTTCAAGCTGCCGGGTCTTGGCCCATGGAATTCAGCTGCCTTCACCACCACCCCAGCTGCTGGCCCGTTTATGGTTAACTTTAGGCCTCGTAACTGCTTTGCCTCAACTTAATTTCTTATAGTCACCTACATTTCCTCTTTTCCGAAAAGACTCGCAGGTGCAAAGGGGAGTTGTAAGTGCTATGTACCTGGACAAGGATGGTCTCATGATGTGTAGTCAGGCCCAGTGGAACCTGGCAAACCTGAACTCAGATAACAGCTTGTGAATGTCAACGCTGCTTATGCTTTCAATACACTCTATGGTCAATTTCATGTAAATGTGTAAAAAGGACATCCAGTGATGTTCTTTACATATGAATATATTCTTCGGTGTATTTAAAAAAGGACTAGTTAATGAATGTTGGAATCCACCCAAATGTTACCATTTTGTATTCCTTCTAGCAGTTGGTGTTTCATGTGAACTTTGTTTCTTGCCAAATTAGTGTTGAAATCTCTCTGCTAATATAGAATTTTTAGTTGAAAATAAGAGATGAACTACCCGTGTATTCAGCTACCAGGAAGCACATGTTTAGAAGAGCGTGTCTCACCCCAGGCTACCAACTTATCTGTTCTTTTCTTTCTTTCTTTCTTTCCTTAAGAGTAATGTTGTTCTGTTTGCTTAAACAAATGGACATGAATTTTTTTTTTTTTTTTTTTTTTTTTTTGCTACAAGGCATGTACACTCCCTGTACAGAGACGGAGAGAGACAACAAGGGGGGAAATGAGAAATCTCTCCAGGGTGGACAACCACACCACAATCCCTTCTCCTCCGGTATCTTCTCGGGACCTTGGGCACACATACACATGCACCCAGCATGATTTTTAAGTTGCACCTACATTTCCTCTTTTCCGAAAAGACTCGCAGGTGCAAAGGGGAGTTGTAAGTGCTATGTACCTGGACAAGGATGGTCTCATGATGTGTAGTCAGGCCCAGTGGAACCTGGCAAACCTGAACTCAGATAACAGCTTGTGAATGTCAACGCTGCTTATGCTTTCAATACACTCTATGGTCAATTTCATGTAAATGTGTAAAAAGGACATCCAGTGATGTTCTTTACATATGAATATATTCTTCGGTGTATTTAAAAAAGGACTAGTTAATGAATGTTGGAATCCACCCAAATGTTACCATTTTGTATTCCTTCTAGCAGTTGGTGTTTCATGTGAACTTTGTTTCTTGCCAAATTAGTGTTGAAATCTCTCTGCTAATATAGAATTTTTAGTTGAAAATAAGAGATGAACTACCCGTGTATTCAGCTACCAGGAAGCACATGTTTAGAAGAGCGTGTCTCACCCCAGGCTACCAACTTATCTGTTCTTTTCTTTCTTTCTTTCTTTCCTTAAGAGTAATGTTGTTCTGTTTGCTTAAACAAATTAACATGAATTTTTTTTTTTTTTTTTTTTTTTTTTGCTACAAGGCATGTACACTCCCTGTACAGAGACGGAGAGAGACAACAAGGGGGGAAATGAGAAATCTCTCCAGGGTGGACAACCACACCACAATCCCTTCTCCTCCGGTATCTTCTCGGGACCTTGGGCACACATACACATGCACCCAGCATGATTTTTAAGTTGCCAGGTCTGGGGCTTGAACCACCATCAGCCATAACATAGACATTTTTAACAGAAGCCAATTTACGAACTTATGTAGGAAGTAGGCCAACAAACAAAAGAAAACCCTAGGCCATCACATCATGCCGCCAAGCACTTGAGAAGCGAGCTTTCATGTTTCTTGTTTGGTGGACCTGTGAGCATCCATTGATCCAGCCCCGAAACTCTGGGAGGTCCCCATAGGCCAGTTATTTCAGCACGGAAGGGGTGAGTGGCAAAAAGCGAGCATGAGTCTATTAAGCCATAGATATATGATTTGATGACATGTGAGTGTCACACTTCCTTTTCAAGGGGGAAATGGTCATGTGCTGAGAAGTACTGACACCATAGCTATTAGAGGGGACTTTTCAAGTAGCCCTGTCCCCAGAACTGCTGTCTAATTTTACTATGTATCATGGTCATCTCAAAGATTTTAAGGTGAAAATTCAATGGACTGAAATGTGCACCACTAACGTGTTGACAGTATAAGGTGTAAGGAATGAAAATGTCTTCAACGTTTGAGGATGTCCTTCGTCAACTACAGGTTTTCTGCCAGGAGGATCAGTCTTCCCCTCTGACAGTGTTGGCAGACAAATGAAGATAAATTAGCACCCTCCCCCTTTATTGGAAACTTCTGGAAGTTCCAAAGGCGTGTGAACTAAAAATAAACTTCTCAAATTTAGCTAAGAAAATACAGATGTCCAGCTAAATTTTAATTTCAGGTAAGCAATGAATCATTTGCAGTATGGCTGTGTCCCATGCACTAAAATACATCCTGTATTTCATCTGGCAATCCTACTTTAAAATATTTTAAAAGCCCATAAAAATATAATCAAAACTTCCCAGATATAGAACAGTAAAATCCTTCTGTCACATAATGGAAGCTTTAAAAAAAAAAAAAAAAAAGCTATTAACATTCAGAATGTGTGTCTGACCTTTGGGAAGATCTGATTTTACTGATTAAAAGAAAAACAATTTTTTTTTTGAGAGATTTTCGCTGTAGGGCGCGTGCGCTCGCCAGACAGACAGAGAGAGACATAGAGACAGAAAGCAAGAAATCACCCCCCAGGGGGGATGGTCACGCCGCAATCCCTTCTCCTCCATTCTCCTCTCGGGATCTTGGGCACGCACGCACACACGCCCGGCGTGAGTTTTAAGCCACCGGGTCCGGGACACGAACCGCGGTCGACTACGTGGGAGTCCAGCGACATAGCCATTACGCTAACTGCTGGTTCCCCCAAGAAAAACAATTATTTTTAACCTAACGCTAGTCTAGTACTTTATGGAGTTAACCACCTTTATTTCATGCTAAAGTAGATTACTAACTGGAATTTGAAATAAAGCAGCCAGGAGAGTTAAGAGAACAAGTTCATCCATTTTCTGGTAATTTCTAGTCTTCTGGTAGCTTCTTACGCATCACCAGAGTAGTGAGAACCCGAGCCCTGAAATGTCTTTGCTCTTTAATTAACTTGTGTGTCTCAGTGACTTCCTGTGCCCCCGTCACCATGGGGATCTCTCATACTAAACGTATACCAGTGAGTGAGCACTGCGTGTGTGTGTGTGTGTGTGCATGTGTGTGTGCGTGTGTGTGTGCGTGTGTGTGCATGTGTGTGTGTGTGCGTGCGTGTGCGTGTGTGCGTGTGTGCGTGTGCGTGCGTGTGTGCGTGTGTGTGCGTGTGTGTGTGCGTGTGTGTGTGTGTGTGTGTGTGCGTG